GCTTAATACAGTAAGACAGAGAAGCGCGTACCTGTATCATGGCCCCAGGAAGTCATTTGTCCAGTGGAGTCCCAAGCAACTGATTATCAGGTCAACTGAACTACACATTCACAGATTTGATTTACAAAGATGTATTTTTTTGAGATAAAAAAGATGCGTATTAAGTATAAGACACCAAGGGATGTCACCCCTGTACAAAATATTTACAATACAGTTAGAACGTCAAAAACTTTCCCAAGATCATCCCATCCATATAAATCATGCCCCAGAATAAGAGACCCAAAAATATGTATGCACCTATCTCTAATCCTACCCGAATTCCCCACACACCCATCAAACACTCTGTTGTTTCTCTTTTCATACACTCAAGAAATAGTTGAAGGTATGAGCTTTACAAAGACTTACAAAGATGTATTTTAAACTGCTTTGAGCAATTTTTTGTGGGAAAACTGCCTAATAAGCTAGATTTCACATAAAGAACAATTCAATCTGCAACCACACCTTTCCTCGACAGGCAAAAATTCTTCATCTCCAACCATAAAGGATGTTTCAACAGATTTGTCATCCATATCTTGCTCAGCATCTTTACACAATTTCACCATGTCATGTGACATATCCATCATAGTTAGCTTTTTGATGCCACCTGAATCAAAGATGCCAACATTATAACCTAACAAGAGCTCCTAAACAAAGTGACAGTCTTTGTCAAAAGGATCAAACTTATTATCAACATATTAAAACATAAGAAAACCATATCCAAACTTCAACCGTCTCTGAAGGACCACTGCTCCCACAAAAAACAGCCTTTTAAAAAGTGTTATTTGGATATACTCAAATACTTGTACGTAATTTCTACTCACACCACATTAAAACAATTTTTATTAACAAAAAAAAAAAAAAAACAGGAGAACAAAACTGAACCACAGGCAACTGCAGCAAAGTTCGTCAAGACAGAAAACTTATGTGACTAAAGTCTCACCATGATCACGTGACAATCGTCTGACAGCTTCCAAAGAACCTCCCAAAAATAATGCTGATGGAAATACTTTCCTACAGTCCTACAAAAGATAAAAGGATGCTAAGGATTGATGGTGAAGCAATTAAATTATCATCTTTTGGAAATAAATGCAACCAAGCAATAGTAAGCCAAAGAAGTTGAAAAGATGTTGTTTCATGGTCTCCATCCGATAAGACATTTCCGTTGAAGGAGTTCTTCCTTACTTCCAGTAACTTTTTTAAGTAACCAAGATGAAATTCAGACAAACTAACTGATTTTGTTGGCAACATCCCAAAATTGAAGTACGACTATCAATCTCAACATACCAAGTCAATGAATTATGAAACATATCATTCTTGAACACGTAAGCTATCAGAAATCAAGAAATGATTAATTGATTACAACTGCAATGTCATCCTAAAAGACAATTACCATAATAAAGACGTCAATGCATGAGAAAGAACATTCTATTCCGTACCTCCAGGCGATCTACGAGATTTTCAGCTACAGAATCTATAAAACAATCATTTTGGCGCCACAACCCAAGCAGCTCGGTCACGCTGCCACCAGAAAGAAATCAGGAATTAGAGAGAGAGAGAGAGAGACTCAGAATCATACTCACAGAAAACAAGTATTCGATGCTAAAAAACAATGAAACCCATCCTCAAGAGTTCAGAGATTGCAGACAAGGTGAAAGCAAGGTCAAGAAGAAGGAGAAGGGCACTTGTTTGCGTTTGAAGTCACGGTCAAAGATCATTATCCTTGAAGCATTAGGACTCGAAAGTCCGTCGCCGGCGCCGCCGTCCGTACAGAAGAATTCGGAATGGACAGAAGCGTAGGGCATCGTCCTCCATCGCGAAGAAATTCTCTGATAGAGTGAAAGAGCTCTCATTACTCACTGCTTTGAGCTTCAACTCTTCTCAAGGTTTTGGTCTTGGGTTTTGTCTTTCTATTTTCAAAAAATAAAAATAAAAATGATATTTATTTTTAAAACAATTTTTCGTTTTTTTTAACATTTTCTTTTTAAAAAAATTAATCGGGAAGCAGAGCAGCATGCCAGTGTCCACCCAACCCGATACCATGTCCACCTCGCCATCACCTTCTTGCTCTCGATTTTCTTCTCTTCATTTCATTATTCCTACCCCGAACCAAAACTTCCCGCCACAAACTGCCTTCTTACCAATATCTTCACTGGATTTTCCATCTTTTTCTCGAAGATTCTTGACGAATGCGAAGCGGCTTTCTCACAGAAAAAGATGGATTCATGCGAAATCA